ATGTTTGCTGCTTTCCAGGAATTCAGGAACAAATTAAATTTGGGCCCAAAGCTTCCTGTGTATGGAGAGCAGCAAGGCACCTTCCATGATACTGCATATTAATGCTTATTAATGCTATCAATTTTGCTTATGCAAATGCATCCTATTTACCATAGTTTCAGGTCACCGTAATCTTTCTAAGGACCAGAGTTTAAAAATGCTGTTTTAAATCTATCCAGGACTCCATTACAAGGATTCAGTTGCCAGAGACTTGAACAGAAATACCTTAAATAATTCAGATAGTGAGAAAGTCAGGATTACTAGTTCAGGCATCTTCCTGTAGGATGAGGAAAAAGACAGTAGATGCATAATATTACTCTTACCAAAATGATGGATTTGTAATGTGGTCTAGATCATGTGCTGTACCATGTATGAAATGCAGTAGTGCTTTGTGTGTATACATTTGTATCCCACAGTGTATCCTATTTATTTATTAAATTTAGACACTGAAATAAAATACTAAATCTGTAAGTGGGCCTTTGCTGTCTTGGGCAGTTGTGAATAAGGAAGGAGAAAGATCTTCATGTTCAGAAAATGTTCATTCCCTTCCTTGTCACCATACAGAAATAAACTTGTAAAGAGATTGCAGCAGCTGGAGAATCAGTGATAAATAATAGATTCTTCTTTCCCCAGTCCCTAACATCTACGTATAGTGAGCACATCAGTGCCTGGAAGACAAGAATTTATGTTTTGCTTCCTTATCCTGTAGCCTTCTTTTTTTCATCAGGCTTTGGGAAATGCATCTGCATTCAAATGCTGGAGTTCTCTCTGTTGGGCTGATCTGGGCTAACCTTCAGTGGGTGGGATTTACAGTTGCCCTGTTCATCTGGTTGAACAGACATTCTCCTGGTGCATGCTGTTATTGTCTGGGAATGTTAAATTAGCTGTATCCTACTTTAAAAGGGTGGGGACAAATAGTTATGTCAGCAACTTAATTCATTCTCAAATTTTTGTGACAGTGTTGTATTCTGGAATAAGCTTTAACCAGCAGCAACATATACACCTATAATAATATGATGCTTAACATGTTGTGGTGGTCATGTTGTTTTCATACACTGAATTGACCAAGCATTCCGTTGTGACTGATGTTCGTTGTGTCTTACTTCCACAGCTGGAGTGATGTTGGCAGTGGCTCGATAAGCTTTTCCTCCTAGAAAGCTGCTTTTGTGTTGGGTGCAGTTTAACTGCCCGTCATTCAAATTCATCTTTTATTCTCTGATGCTCTGATTTATGTGAAATATGTTTTCTAATAGGTTTTAATTTGTTGGGTAAAGCTGAAGGCTTTCATTGCTTTGTTTATTAGCTAAAGTTATGATTCAGTTTAGTTCCTACTTTGGAAGGATCATTTAGGTTTTAAATCACTAAAATCCAAATTAGAATTGAGCATGTTTTAATTTGTTTTCCTTTCTCTCTGAAATATTTCCTGAGAGAGATACAATCCTAGCATAAGAAATTATTGATACTGTGTATTTTGACTGCAGCTGATGGAGAAATTGCATTTGTATAGCTACTGCATGCAATGTAAAACAACTTCCTTCTTATTTTTGTAGAGATACAAGAAGTTTGTTTTGGTTCCATGCCCTGTCTTGGATTTGCTTTGTGCCCTTGTATAAATTGCTTCGTTTGTGTACTTCTGTATTTCCTTCTGTAAAATGTAAGACCTGTAGCAGAGTATCAGGAGAAATATGTAGAATATTCTCAACTGCCTTAATGCTGTAATTATTGGGGTGAAATGCATGCACGCTGCTGCCTGTGATATCACTCTTCTAGTAGTATGTTAAATAATAGCCAGAACAGAAATTCAAGCTAATGTATTTCCATCCAATATGTGATTAATTACATGTTTGTGATGAATGAAGAGGTGATTATTTGCAGACATGGTGTGCCACTCATGGTCTGCCCTGCACCTAAGTAGGGCAAAACCAGGCTTCTTATCAAAAATTTGCTAATTAGTTCACTAAGTGATGCAAGTGTTAAGCACACCCACCAATTAAAAAATTTCTTCCTGTGAATATGTGCTGGTGGGTATCAGTCAGTCTGAAACAGAGTGCAAGTAAACTTGTTTTTCTGCCTTCAGAAACCTTTCAAGAAAATAATTTAATTTAACACAGTATTCTGCTTTGTAGTAACTTTCTTTTCCTTGAGCCATTTGTTTATTGTTTATTAAAAGGCAGTCTATTTAAAAACTTGAAATGCACTTCATCTTCATCAGTAAAGCTTTCTTCCATAACTGTCTGCAGATGATGCGAGCATCATTAAGCTCCATTAAAATCACTCTAATTAGAATGAGTCTTCAGAACAACTGAAAATGGTAGCAGAAGAGATTTTGATTGGTGCACGATGTAGTTTGTGAATGTGTCTGTAAACCATTCTAATCTATTCTGTTTAAAAATCAGGTTTGTAGTTGTGGCTGATGTCCTCTTGTAGGTTTTTATATAGCCGCTGGGAAACTGCTTGTGCTGTTAAACAAAAGCCTACCTCAGGACTTGAAGGATAATAAATTACATCAACAAGCACCAGGCAAATTGCCTGCTAGATTACCTTGTGTCTGTGATAATCCCTGAGGATGTAGACAGTAAGAGCTCACTGATTGCAGCTGAGTAAGGAATTGCTGTGCTACTGCTTCCTTTGACTTCTACTTGGTCCTCCCTCCCAAACACACACAAGCTTATACCAAGCTTTGAGGCAGCTGGGCTAAAATTGATGCAATAGGAGCCTGGTATGGAAAACAGGGAAAATAGTGCAGAATTTGTCCCTCAAGTGATGGAGTGGAATATTCTCCCAGTGTCCTTCACAGGTTTCCCCTCTTCTCAGTACAAGGGAGTACAAAATATGGAGAAACTGAGTAGGGCACTCTAGTTCGGTTATGCAGGGAAGAAATATAAGGGAGGATTATCATAAGGACTGAAGAAGGTACAGAAATGTGCTGAGGTTCTGAAAACTTCACCCCTTCCTCTGATTTAGCCTTATATGTGCAAAAGGGAAGGGAGAAGAGCAGTTGTGTGTTTGGGAAGTGAAGGAAGAGGGGGGGGGGGGAAAAGTTGAGACAGACATCAAGATAACTACTTGTGTGAGCACAGGGTTTTGAAAGAAGGCTCCTAAGTTCATACGGGCTCATATGGTGTCAGGCCAGCCAACTCCAACTTGTGCTTGGTCCAATCCATAGAGACAAAAACCAAAAGTGCACATCTCTCTATGAAAAGCTGCTTTGTAAAAAATATGTTAGTACTTGCATCACTCAGTTTTCTTGGAAGCTCATGACCTCAGACTTATAGTGTTCTATACTATTTTCATGCCACGTGTCTTACTGAAATAGTACCTGATGTGATTTAGGAGCAGCTGGAATTTGTCACATGCTGCATCTCTCTGCACATTGTGGTTTGCAGCAACTGGAAGTGTGTAGAGCAGGGAGAATAGCAGTTTAGTCTTTCTTGAACTTTATGTTAAAGCTCTGCCAGAGGAGGTTTAGGTTAGATATTAGGAAGAAATTTTTTGTGGAGAGAGTAATCAGGCACTGGAATGGGCTGCCCGGGGAGGTGGTGGATTCACCGTCCCTGGTGGTTTCTGAGATGAGACTGGATGTGGCACTTAGTGCCATGGTCTAGTAACCACGGTGGGGTTGGACTTGATGATCTTGGAGGTCTTTTCCAACCCAGCTGATTCTATAATTCTATGTTGAGAAAAACAGTCATTTTTCCAGTCAGAAATCAGGGGTTTATATTCAAGTTTTTTCCCTGTGTTGTGAGGTATCTGTGCTGGCAGAATGGGTTTCCATTGCTGGCACCGGACATCAGAATGGTAGAACCAAGTTCATCAGTGCTTAGTATACTTCGGTGCAAGACATGATGACAGGAATCTGTAAAACCAAAGTTGAACCGGGCAGTTGTATGTTGCTGTGGATACTGGCAAACAGGATATGCAATTTTGAGCTAAGACCATGTACTAAATACTTTTTTAAAGAAGTTATTTTTATTTATATCTTCTCTGGCAGTTGTTTTGGGCCTGAAACTGCTTTTGTCACAGGTTAGCTCGCTCTTTTGTGTGCTGTGAACACTTAATGCTTTGTTCCTTTTCTTCTCTTACCAATGTACAGGCTGTTTTCTGGGATAATTTTTTCTATAAATGAAATGGATATGCTTTAAACTTTCCAAATGTATAATACTGGGGAGCTTACCTGTAGGAGCATTTGAAGTTGTGCAGTGGGAACTGGATATAGGTTCAGTGGTGTGAAATAATTAGAGAAACTGATTCTAATCTAAACACCAGCAGGGCTGCTGCTTATTGGGCTGTGTTTCCAGCCATCTCATGGGGCTCAGAATGCATACCAAGGTGTGGGAAGAATTGTTGGATGAATTGTTGTAGATAGAAGATAGCATCAGAAGAATATTTGATTTTCAGATTTAGCTGCTGCTGGATACTTCTATTGTGCCTCATTGGACTGTTTGATCTACAGGAGCTTGTGCAGCTAGTTTGGGGTGGTGCCTGCCTTCCCAGTCTGCACAGCTGCTGCTTTTCTTTTTCTTTTTTTTTTTTTTTAATAAAGATAACTTTACTTATAAAGGATTCATAACACCTTTACATCTTTAATTGTTCTGCTAAAAAGCCTTGAAATGTGTAAAGTTTTTAAGACTTGTGTCCCAAAGACAACCTTGTCTATGTAACTTCTACTTCCTTGAATAGCTTAATTTAATTTCAGGCAGTAAGCAGTTGTCGTCTACTTGAGCTTGTTCCTAAATGATTGTAAAATATATCCCAGCCCCATTTTCCTATAGGAATTTTGCATAGCTTAGCTATTCCCACTAGTTCAAGGATGACCCCTGGGGTCAAATATTATTAGGATATGTTACTGACTACTGCAGCAAATTATTGAAAGCACATAGAATAAAAATAACACAGAATTGCTGATTAACCAGAAATAAAGACTAAAGATGTCTGTGTAATGCTGAACAATGCTTTGGTAGGTCAGACGAGTGCCAGGTTCCAGTGGCCATCTCCATAAAACAGAAGATGGGGACTGGGAATGGAGTGATGATGAAATGGATGAGAAGAGTGAGGAAGGCAAAGCTGCTGTTTCTCAGGAAAAGGTACCTTCTGTTTGTACCAAGGCATTTATGCTCTGCAAGATATTCTGTCTTTATGTTAATTGTTAGTATTTCTGGATCCTTATTGCATAAAGCTGCATAGCTCATGTCTCACTGCATTTGTTTTCCAGTCACGAAGACTGAAAGAGGAGGAGAACACAGAGGTAAAAATGTCTTTATAAATTTTTTTTCTTCCAAGTGTTTGAGTGAAGGAATTTCTTTTTCTGCTGTTAAAAATGTGAATTGAGGTGGGAGTGTTATTCTGCATCCTTGTATATCAAGTACTTGTGAGGATGGAGCTGTATGCAGTTGTGCCTGTAACAATGAACTTGAGTACACAGTGGATAAGAGGGATAGGAAATTTAAAGTCATGTTATGTTTGTGCCCAGGAAAATTCATTAAAATAGGAAATTTGACTGTTTTTATTGAATCTTCATAACTGTATCACACTAATTGCTGTCTTTTTGTCAGAGTAATGGTGGTTGTGTTGGAGCAGCCAGAAGATCTCCAAATAATTTCTCATTCTTAGGACTTGTATCATGACATGTAGCTTATCATTAAATTGCTTCATCCCATATACAGTAAAATAGTTCAGTACTGGAGCATATTAGATTAATTCAGAGGAGTAAAACACTATATTGAATTTCATGGCCCTGTGCTGAGAGTGTAGGAAGCATTGCTGCTGTGCATAATTGCTTAATAGGATTATGACTTACAGACAAAAGGCTCTTTTTATAATGTCCATTCCTTGAGTGGTTGACCCTTGCCACTTCACCTGCAGTTGTAGATTCTCTGATTTTCATTGGTGTCATTGAAAGCTTCTAAAAGACTAACAGCTTCCTGCCGGATTTGGTCCTGTTAGCTCCTGTGATGACCCCAGTCTCTCCATTGCAGACCGAGTTTACATAGCCTTTCAGCACGTGAAATACCTTGTGTAAGCTGAGTACAAAAAGGACTTTCACCTGACAGTCTTTGTGTCTTAGTTACTTAGTTCTGTAGTTTCTGACTCAGTTTATACAGGTAACTCATAATAAAAATGTTGCTTAGTTTATGAAAGAGAAAAATACCTCTGCTTGAAGTCTTCTGTTGATTTTTATTTCTTTTTTCCCCTAAATGCTCCGGGAGATGATTTGGAACTAAGACTAGATCAGCTTGTCACTGTTGGTGTGTGCCTGTTGAGTCTTTAGGATGCACATTCCTATCCATTGAAACAACATGTCTGTTGAAGATGCAGAAATAATGGTAGTAGTTTATACGAATGGAAGGAATTTAATTGAAGCAGAAAAAAATCTGCTCCTGTTTTAGTGATAGTGATAAATAATTTTCAAAATATTAATGAATGTTTATTGAAAATAAACGGATAATAAAATGGAGATTTTGTGTAACTTTTTTAAAAGTAGCTTTGATATGTTAAACTGTTGCAAAAGCAATCAAATGAGATTTGTGATCCAAGTCTTTATTTTGGGAGGACTGACTATAACCTTTGAACAGACTTCTGTGAGTGGTGACACTGTGCCAAGTTAAGTATGAAATCATAGTAGGGTAGAGGACCTGGAGGTACTCTGTATGTAGGATGCACTTTTACTTGAGACTTCATATAAATGTTATTTGAGAGCTGGGGAGGCTATCACAGTATGACGGAGGAGTGATGGTGTGAAATGTGTCTGTAGTCCTGATTTTCTCTGTGAAAGACATCCTCTGAGCTGTGATGCCTGCTTTAATATGCCACTAGCTCTTTGCATATGGGTAGAGGCCAGACTTCCTTAACAACCAAAAAACTGTTACACACAAATAGTGTGAGTAGCAGTTTGGTATTCCACTGTATGCATTTAATAGGTTATTGGAGCTTTGCTGCAAGGTGGAGTAAAAGCTCTTACACTCAATGCTTTCATGCAGGCCTTATCATTTGTATCTCTGTAATTGAAATATGGCAGTTCTACTGGTATCAGCTGTATTTTAGACTGCATAGCGAAAGTGTTTAAAAGGTTTCTGAGAGTTAGAGAACATGTTAAATATTCTGTGCTAACTTCAAACAGCATGGAAAGTTTTTTATGATTTTTTTTTCCTTTGGCATCCTTTATAAGACTTTTTGCTTTTCTCTTTAATAGTCTCAGCCTGCTGTTAGTGATGAATATAGTGAAGTTCCATGTGCAGTGAATCTTGTCTTAAGATTAAGGTAAGAGATTCTTCTTTTTATTTAGCTGTATTATCTTGATTTCCCTCATTACTTTCATAATATTAACCAAAAATCAGTACTAACATCTTTTATCTCCCAATATGACCAGTATGAATAGTGCTTCTGTGACTAATTGCTGTCTTTTAATTGCTTACTGAAATAGTGTAAAATGAAAAGCAGAATATGAATGTGGCTTCAGGCTAAGTGTACCCTTCATTAAGTATTTTCTTTCTTTTTTTTCCTTGCAATGGAGGATCACAGTGAGAGATTTTTAATGAGTTTCTTTCACACTTCAGCAGTCAGCCTCTGACAGAAATAAACCATAGCTGTATTACAAGTTGCCTACTCAAAACGTTTTTCACTGGCAAGTTTGATCAGCCACTGTAGAGAAGTGACAGATATTTTAGGAAATGGATACAAATATGTTGTCTGACTTATACTTAGTTAAAATGAGTCAGATTACCTTTAATTTAAATCAGTTTGTAACGAAGATTTGAATTGCTTAATTATGCAGTCTAGTTCTTGGATAAAACTATTTTTCCCTAAGAGCCTTTGATAACTTTTTTATGTATTTACAGCCATTTTTCTTAGATAAAACTTAGATTAAAAACTTACTTAGATAAAAAACTTAACTGCCACTCACTTTAAAACTTGCTTACATCCAGTTTGTGTGGACAGTATATCTATAAGAAGTTGTAAACTCTTAATTATTGCTATAGGAAAAAGTTAAATGTTACAGGGTTTTTATGCTAACAAAAAGATAAGAAGTCAGAAATAATTAGAAAATTACAACCAGTGTATTAGAAACAAATGCCAGATTTATGCATAACAAATAGCTTTAAAACAGTAACATAAAAAATTGTTAGTGTCCTGTTTTCAGCTGTTAGTAAGCAGAAAAAAAACAACCAAATTCCAAAATCTATTATCTTCCCTTTTCTTTGACAACTTTTCTAGTGACAGCTGCAAAAAAATGCTTGGCTGCCAGAGGTTGTTTACAAAAGGGAGGAGTAATAAATTTTATTGTGGGCATAGGAAAGACTTAGAGATTATTTGGAATCGTTTTAGTTGTCTAATTTACTTAACTGCCTAGTTATGCCATCAATATTCTTTTTCATCTCTCTGCTGGCAGGTAGGGGAAACCATTTACAAACAGACCAATTTATACTGCTGTGTTGATGTACCAGTGAGGTGCTTTGGGTATTTATAAATTATAGTGAAACCTACAGAGTGATTAGCTTCTACCCAATTACTGGCGGTGTTGACATACTCAGAGGACAAACATTGTGGTACATTGAAATGTCAGGGATAATGCTTCCAGTTGTCTGCAGGTCTTAAGCAAAGGAAGACTGATTCTGGGAGACTTAAGTTTCCAAGCTCTTATTTACATGATGGACTTTTGTTCTTCTTAAGGATCCTCTTAATTCATGGGTGAAAAAATTCCTGCTCCCTACCCTCCCTAAATGCAAGTCTGTAGTAACTAGGTTAATGTGTTATAATTATGAAGATTTCAGTGGTTATTGGTAAAGAGAAAAGAAACAAGAATTTCAGTTTTAGGAACCAGAAAGTTTCCTTTAAACAGAATTAAATAGTCTTGAAAAGCAGATATACTCTGGAGCCTGGGAACACTTGGACAAAAACAAAAATCTGATGCATAATTTTGCAGAGTGGTGTGAACTTGTGGCCCTGTGTAAGCTCTGGCTGTGTCCTGTCACAGTGGTAGGAGTTGGGAGATAGAGATCTTTGCACTATGTGTCTGGCTTTCCTTCTGATGGGAGCCTGAGCATGTGAGTAGGGTCAGAGCTAGCATATAATCAATGTGTGTGTGTGCACAGGCTATACTAAGTCACACGCTTTGCTTTCAGTTGGCACTTTGCAAAGTGCTTATCTGAGAATGAAGGCTACAAGCTCCCAATACCTCTGCTCAGCGGTGTAGGTTCAGAGGTAGTATTTTAGCATTTCTTTATATTTGCTAAATAAAAGGCAAAAGTTATTTTGTTAATGGAGCAGTCGGTGGGTGACTGTTAGATATGTTGTGTTTAGCGAGGTCCCTGAGCTGTTGGGCTTCTCCTTCACTGTTGACCTCAGGAGAAGAACAGCTGAAGCTGCTGTGAACATGATAGGCCTGAGCAGTCTGATGAATACTTATCAAGATTTATATTCATATGTCTTGGTCTTCAGTAAATTAATGGAAACTTTATTTGGGGAATGGAGCTGATGAGTATTTGTTACCTTTTAACGTACTACTTACATTGCTTCTATTATTGGATTACCTGTGAGGAGTTATTGCAGCTCATTTGCCTGTTGGTGTCAAGTATCTGTCGGTATATTGTTAAAAGCTTTTAATCATTGACCTTGCTGTAGGCTCATTAACAGTGGCTCTGGCCTGGTGGTGAGTGGTTGTGCCCGAGAGAAGAGGACTTCTGGTTTTTGAATATTTGGGTCTAGGTCTAGCTGCAGAGAGCAAATTCAGAAAAGCTCTGGAGAAGTAGTGACTGTGGTAACAGTGTAATGCTGCTTTGTGGGCATAGGATTAGGAGTCTTTCTCTTCAACCCCAAGGTCTCGATACTTGGACTTCACCACTCTGCTAAACAAAAGCCAGGGTAGGTTTGAGGTTGGCATTCCAGTGAAGTATTGACAAGCTTGTACCACACCCGGCAACACAACTGACAAGCTACAGAGATCCTGGTTTAGGAAGACAGTGGTGTTCAGAGTATCAAAGTGCTAGTGCTCTAACTATTGCTGTAATCTGTTTTGCACTAATCCAACTGCTTTTTCTGTTCCCTTAGCAGAAATGCAGTTGTATGGGTTTCCTTCATAAAAGTATGTAAAATCATTTTCCTGTTGTGGTTTAGGAGTGGTATTCCCCAATTTAGTGTTTCCACTGAGCCCCCTGAGACCACGAGCCACTCGCTCACTCCCCTACCCCCTCTCCCTGCCACAGGATGAAGGGAATTGGAGGCACAAAAGGTAAAGATGAGGGGTTGAGACAAGAACAACTTACTCAAAACCAGCAATGAAGTAAGAAAATGAACAGTAACAAAAACTATTAAATAAGAGTGTACAAGACAGGCAAACAACTCACACATGATCGCTCACCATACTGAACCCAGCACTGCCCCATCGGGAGTCAGAACAAAGGGTACCCTCTGTTCCCTCTGCATAGCATGAGGTGGTATAGAATAATCCCAGGATCCTAGTGTGCCCTTCCTGGCTGTTGTAAAAGTTAACCCTGTCCTGGCCAGACATGTAAACTTGGAGGCCCTCAGGCACTCACAGTCAGTCCTGGATTACAGAGGAAGTTGCCCTCTGCATCCCAACATGTGCAGCTGTCCTTGTGCTGGGATCACTGCAGAGTGAATGAGCTTACATTTAGGGCAGCTGTATATGAAGAAAGATGTTCTGGCCCCAAACAGCTCTCTCTTGTTGTAATTAACGAGTAAATGTTTTTTCAGCATCTTTAAAATTACTGCTAGTTTTGGCATTTGTAGCCAATAAAAGGAGTGTAGGTGACTTGGTGTGTGTCACATAGGAGTCCCTTGGGATTGTAAGGCAGTAAACAGCTAATAACCTCACAGAGTTTTTTGCATCTATCCACCTTCACTGCAGATGTAAAACTATTCTGTTAATGTCTTCTGGTGAATGATCATTAAATCATTTAGCTGATAGAGACTAGAGCATATCACAGAATCTTTATGGGATCTGTTAAAATGAGCTGTAAGTTGTAAACCATATTAATAAGGAACAGGTTAGCTATAGTATGATGGTAGAAATAATTTCCTGTGATGCTTCATCATCTACTATTAAATAACTTCTGAAGTATGGTTTGATATTCAGATAAACATTGTGAACATTAGGTGCCACACTTGAAGACTCAAAGATCAGTATATCATCAAAAATGTAGATGATTTTGCTTTTAAAATAATGCACTTGAGGCAATCAAATTATATCAATATAATCAAACTGCAGTAGCTTGATGAGTTCAGAAGACACTGGCTTCAGATGCTGAGAATTGCTGTTTAAAACAAAAGGTTCAGAACTGAAATGGGTAAAAATGTAAATACTGGCAAAATATTGGAGGAATGAATTGGCTGATGACGATGAGAGTGGAAGGGAATTAAACATGTTAAGAGAAGGCTCAGGAAGGTCTCATGGCTTCATTGCTTCCCCAGAGAGGGGTCATGGGTTAAGGGGACAGCAAAAGGTGAGTATCTCAGTTGGGAAGGAGCCCTTGCTGTGTGATAGAGGCTGGCTGGGTAAGGACCTAAGGGGAGAAGGCCTTTCCCCAAGGTACTCAGACAGGGAGGGAAGGTGGAGAGAACTTGGATGACACTTGTGGGTGCTGCTGAGTCTTTAGCTGGGGAACTGCCTTGTTTGCAGAGAGTTTGTCATGGAAGTTGATGTAGACATTAAGAGCCTTATGAGCAGGAACAACTTAATATGAGGCTCAGGAGTGTGGACCATAATGTTTAAAGACTATTGCCTGGGGATTTGGGAGTGAGAGGGGCCGGGATGGGGTGGTGATGGGCAGGAAGAAAGTGATCCTCTGCTTTGTTTTGGTTTTTTTCCTGTTCTACAGTGAGGCCATACTATGACAAAGCCCATCAAATTCTAGATGATAGTTTGCGTTTCTTTCCTGGCAGTATGTTGCACAAAAGGTTAATAGTACCCATAAAAATTAAAAATTACTTTCACAAAGGAGAAATTTTGTCAAAAGAATTAATGCATTTCAGTAGTTCTTTACCTTTATGGTCAGGCTCTGTTTTTTTTGGTTTTTTTTTTTTTTTCCAATCAGATCAGGGCTGGACTCATGCAGTAATTGAGTAGGGAGTGCTAAATTAACACCAGCCTCTGTTTAGTGCAAATGCCTTGTTGATCAGAAGCACATCTCCCATTCTGAAATAATCTTTAAAGAATCCCATGGTACTCTTTATTTAATGCCCTTTATTTAATTTAATATATTAATATTTAATATTAACCTGTGTTTAATACCTTTTTGTTT